ACGCAAAACGCTGAACTTGCCGCGGCTGATCTGCGATTTTATATTCAAATATTTTTCGCCGCCGAGCTTTTCAACAGCTTTTTTGATAATCGCTTCGGCTTTTTCGTCTGTTTTTTGAGTCTGCGAAAAAGCAACCGCTGAAAAGACGAAAACCAACAAACAGAATTTTATTGATTGCAAGAATACAGAGTTGAAATTTTTCATAATAAAAAAAAGGCTTCGGTGAGATTTTACACCAAAGTCTTTAGATACGAAAAGTAATTTTCGAGTTGGATTCACGTTGAAGAAATCGCAGAATTCGCCATTTCAAGCTTTGCCCATCAAGTCCGACCTTAAAGCTGTTTAAGATATAAAGAAAATCTGCCGTAAAATTTTTAATCGGCAAAAACCTTGTAAACTAACAGATCGAGTCATTTTTTTTCTTCCCTTAAAATCTTCCGAATTTATAGCTTATCTCAGATGTATGCACGACAATTTTCGGGATTTATATAGTGATGAAAGTCAGAGGAGCAGGAAATCTTGATAAAGTTTTATAAAAAATCCATTTTCATCTGCCAAATTCCTCAAATTTGCGTTCTGAATTTTTGTAAATTGAGCACACGAAATCTTACAAGGGCAATAAAATTTTGTGTATTTTTGACGGCAGGAAAGTTTTACAGAGATCAAATTTGATCGAACAAACTCATCTGTTTTCCGATTTCTATAAATTCCTCGATATATTCAGGTGTCCAAAGGTATTTTTTCAGATCGCAGCGACCTTGCGTGTCAAAAACAATTCCTTCATCTTCGAGCAATTTTTGCTGCACATTGTATGGAAGAATTATTTTTCCGGTTGAACATCTGCCTTGGGAATTTATCACGCGATACCACGGAACTTCGAGGGTAAAAGCTTCGTGCATCAAAAAAACAATTGTTCGAGCCGTAAAGCTTGCGCCGAGCAATTCGGCAAGCTGTCCGTAAGTCATCACATTTCCTCGCGGAATCTGACGAACGATACTATAAACTCTTTCCTGAAAAAGCGTTTCGGCGATTTTCATAGGAAAAGCACGCACATCTTAACACAGTTTCACCGCAATTCGTCAACTTTTTTTATTTCGGAACGCGGATTTGGCGGATTCGGCAGATTTTTCGGATTAATTCCTACAAATAATCGGTTTTTATCAGCCGAATCCGAAAAATCCGCGTTCCAATTTTTTCTACTCAAAAAGGCTCGGTTGATCGTCCGATTTTTTCTCGAAGCCTTCGGGAAACCAACGGTATTTTTCCAGATCGCATTTGCCTTTGTCGTTGAAAATCACGCCTTCTTCTTCGAGAATTTTCTGTTGTATGTTATGCGGAAGAAGTAATTTGTCGGTTGAACATTTCCCTTGCGAATTT